ATCAATAGTTACCTCACCTAGAAAGGTGAATCCAAGTGGTTGAAATACCAATGACGCGATTATCACAGAAAAACTTCAAGAGATCCTGAGAGGATACTTTGCCAATGCAACGATGGTACAAATGTTGGTATGTTACGAAACGCTGTAGATAATGGACATTTTAAAAATAACATGCAAATGTTTTAAAATAACTTTGATTGTAGATAATGTTTAATTCTTCGTTGATATTTCCTTTTAATAGCTAAAATTGTTATCACATGATAAATTATGAAATATGTTTTATTTATTGACGCATCAAAGCAGTATCACCTTTCTCGGTATGGAGATCATCAAAGAAGCTACATGAAAACGGTGATTAAAATAGTTTCACGAAATCTCGGAGTCCTGAACAAGGTGTATTGTATCTTCACGCCTGACCAGTTATGCCTGCTGTCAAAACACAGGTCGGGTCTTGCGTTGAGTATTTTTCGCACCTCTGCGACGGCTCCGCCAAGTATCTACTCAATGCCTTGGACAGATTGCAGCGTCACTCCTTGCGAATTGTCGGCGATGAAGAGGTCTCATCCCACCTTGAAGCTCTGCAACTGCGTAGAAATGTTGGATCGCTTAGCGTCTTTTATCGAATGTCATGGCGAGTGCTTTGAAGAAATATTCAACCTTATCCCTCCCTCCCCGTTCCTGCTCCGAAACACGCGTACTGTTTTACCACTTGCCATATTCCATCGCGAAGTAAAAGGTTTGGTTTGGTTCACGCAGTCGGCAAACGGAACTCCCTTCCAGAGCACGTATTCCCACCTTCTTACGATATGCGGTCCTTGAAACAAGACGTGAAGAGGCATCTTGTGGTCATGCAGGGTGGAGGTGGCTAAGGCAGAGATTGTATCAACACTGCACTAGGTACCTTCACGTTTGGATTCCACTTTCTATTTAACATCAGGTGGAGTGGAGGCTGTCATGTAGAAAAAAAAGGAGAATTTAACGATTTAGGCCTCTACTGGCGAGAAGCCGTGGTGGCCTTTTGCCGAAGGTTTTGAGACCCTAAATGTGGAATTCCAGAAGGCAGCAAAAATATCCTACATTAAGGTCTAACAAACAGAACCTCGCTAAACTCCATGAAGAAAAAAAAATTATATGCGACCGCAAATCTTTCTCTAAACGAAGATAGTTTTGCACACTTACATTATATGAGTTTCGACGGGCCATAATAATATAGCAACACTTTTTTTAATCTAAATTTAAGGAACTTTACCGTATAGGAAGATGGTAATGTCGCTCGGCATTGCTGCTTAATTTATACATCTAACGTAGATTCAGACTACCTACTTAAATATACTTTGCACAGTATCATAGTTTCTTTCTACGAAGTAACGCCCAATACACTATTACACTACCCAGTCAATCGTATGCTGGCCACACTGCCCAACTGCTTCCACATTCCATCAAAATTTGGTAAACGTCTTCAATGATGCCGCAATTACTACAAATTTTGTTATTTGTTTCAGAAAATTTAATATATTTTTAATACTATAGTTGTTTTGCAGACGGGTCAATCCCATGTCGTAGATATGAATACAAAAGATATCGACCAAGTGGTTAACTTCACAAACTTTAAGAACATTTATGGAACCATTCAAGTTGAGAAGCACAGGATCATCTAAGAATAAGGGGAATGTTGTAGTGTAGATACAAATATCTCTTTGATTGATAGGCTCTAGAAAACGCAAACTTATGTAGTACTCTTGACAATTTTATCTGTTTGTCGTTTATAGGTGATTTCGTTACTCAAGTGTCTTATTTTGTCTCTAAGAGAAAAGTATGACACCTCTGCCTTCCTGGTTGCTGCCCGCGAGGGCCTTATCTTCAAAGTAAACATTTCCAGTACTTGATAAAGATTTTATTTGAAATATGAAATAAAACTAATTTAAGAACATTATTAATTTCATTTTTATTCTCCCTATATGTAGGATGTAGAATATTTGTTTGAAGTAAATGTGGTGTAAGTTAAATGTTAGTTTACACAGGAAAAACCTGTAAATCAAACAAAAAGGGTGTAGAGGCAGCTAATATTTGTCCCAGTTTTTTAAAGCCATTGAACTAAATGATATTTGCTTGTCTCGAATGAAAAAAAAAATGAGAATAACGCGTAAAAGTTTGCTGTTCATTAAGCGTATATTTTATAATTAAGGTTATTATAGATAAACCCGATAAAATTCTTCGCGGAGAAGAGGAAAGAATCAAAGGAGTCAAAAACTGTTGTAATGATATTAGTAATTATAGTCCTACGAGGTTCTGAGTATTCTAAAAATAGCCCTGCATAGAAGTGTTCAAATCCCGAGGATAAAGATGAAAGAAGTGATGCAAGTACGAAGTGAATAGAAAGTATTCCGTGAATATTTAAAAAAGTTATAGGAAAGCGAGGAGATTATACATAAACCTTATAAATTACTTATGCCTATTCTATCTATATGTATATATAAAGTTCTTATGAATAGTCGTATTTGTTCGTTTATGAAAGAATAAAGGACTGAGTTAACAGTAAGGTAGCGCGTATAGTATAAAACTAAGGATTATGCAAAGACAAATTAGTTCTGAAAATACAATTGCAAAGTACACTTTTTAATTATTTTTTTCTATTATAATAAGTGACGGGTCGAACAAGTCGTGCGCCAGGTGGTAAGCGATACGCCTGTCCATAGCAGTTGTAGTGCCACTCAGAGGTTTAAATTGCAAAGATCTTAGGGGCTTTGCCGCTGCACCCATCACCCACAGACATAAGTTGAAAAGTCCCATCTGGCTACAATTTCACCAGCACCATTACCCTTGAAAACCGGAACACAGTAATTCTCACATTACTGCTTAATAGTTGCTAATAGCTGTTGATAGGGCGACATGCCACTGTTGTATTGAGCATCAAAAAGCATAACATAAGTCCATATAGTAGAATATTCAATCGGAAAAAGTTAATACAACGAAATTATAAAGAAAGTAGTTAAAAGCTAAGTTTTCTCAAAATATAAAAATAACAAAAAGATTAGAACATTTCATAAATGTTACAAAAGTACGGTACAGTACAGATCAGATCTTTCATTCCATTACGGTGTAAATAACGGTTATCCATAAGAAAAATAAGAGGTTAAAATAATTGCCATTATAAATGCAAAATAAACAGACCAATTATACTATTTAATAGTTGTGCTAACATAGTAATTTTTTTATTAATAAATTATAATAATAAATTATACCAATATAAATACATTTATAAGACAAGGCAAGGGTCGAAGCCTTACACCTGCTTGGTCAAGTTCACATCAAGTGACAACAAAAGAACACGAATTCACAGGCGTCAATGAGCATCCATCAGGTCGTTAGTCCGTCAACCATTCATAACAAACAGCGTCCATAAAAGTTACATTACATCTATGGTAAAAGAAAAGAGGTAAGAATGCCTTACATATTGTATGAAGAAGAGAAAGTGTAGTATTTGGTGTTCCCACGCATTCAGAGATATACATTGTTGATACATAGGAAAACTGAAAAAGTAGAAAATTTAACTACGTCGAACAGTGCGAAATTGTGACAAAATAATAAACCATAAATTACTAAGTCGGTAAGTATAAGTAATTAAGAGTTGATTTTTTTAAATAATACCTAATAATAGTTCATAGTTATTTTTCTTTAAAAGACCTCATTACAATACAGATTCGATTATGCTGTAACAAAGGTCGCGCACTCGTCAATTAAATAGATTAACCTGCTCACTCCTTTTTCCTCCAGCGTACGGTGGGCAAAATCCTGATTAATCCCACAATGGTGGCACTGCCTCGTCGACTCTGATTCGGATACTCACCGAAGCATCTATGCCCGGTGAGTATGTGTGTAAAAACAGAACCTGGTGACTGACTTCCGCTGGCTCAACATAACTTTGGGAGTACTGCTCCAGCCTCTGAGGAGGCGCGCGTAAATACGCGCGTCCTTTTCCGCCAGGATGTCCAGTGGGGGAAACCGCGCCAGGATAGTCGCCGCGTCAAAGGCTAGCCTGTAAACTCGTAAACTGCTTATATTGGGGGTTACCACACAAGACTCATTAAGTCGCTGATCATTCAATAACAGCAAAAAAGAGTTTGTGCTTCCTTACGTACTTCAGTAGTATGTAATATCTGTCTTAATTTGTAACCTTGTATTTGTTTTTAGCATGAATGTGGCCGCAGCTGCCAGCAACTCAAGTGTTGATGATAATAACATGGTTCGAGTACGTTTTTAAACTGTTTATCATTTTTTATCTTTTTTACTTTTTCATATAAATAGGCGACTATGAATCAACTGAGGACAACTACACAGACTCCATCAGGTAAGAAGAGGTATTTAAATAATAATAATACAGTAAAGTCATCTCATCAAGACTGTACCTGTGAAATAAACAGATTTTAAATTTAAGTGCTACTTCTTGCTTGTAAAAGACGAATTAAATGTAGAGACACCAATGTGCTAGGTACACTCCTACAAGTCTCGCGATCTGAACGGCACAGTGACATGCTCCAGCGCGCGCATCATTGCTTTCAATTTACTAAATATTTAATTAAACTTTAACAAAATTAATCGCAAACTTTAATAAAACTTGCTAAACAAATTCTGAAATTTAACAAAAACGATAAAATCAAACAAAAAATTTCGCCATATAAAGTGAAAAACAGTTTTAATTCGTAATAAAACAATTCAAAGTCATTCAGACGATAGAATCAACCTTCAGGTTTCTGTTAACGAGTGAGGGCATCACCACACTTTTTGACGCATAATTGCGTTCGGTCTGTCAGAAAAAAGTGTGTGTCCGTGCAATTCAAACGAAAAAGACGTTGTTTTGTGTTTCGTTTCTAATGGTTCCGATAGTGTCAGTTCTGCGTTGAGGCGCGACAGCTGAACCCACCCGAATACTTCAGAATGGCACCGATCGCATGTGTGATCTCTCGTGACTTAGACAGCCGACCGGTTTAATGCGACAAGTGTGGTGATACCGACTCAAGCCGATTTCACGCAGCTAAGTGAAGTGCCTACCTAATAATACGTTATTTGACAGCGTGGTTGTAGTAGTTCTTGGCAAAGAATAAGCAAGTTGCCGCCATGCTGTGTCTGCGGGTGGTGGTGGCGATTGCCGTGGCCTTGGTTTCGACCAATTACATGGTCGCAAAGGCGCAGGTCGACGAATCAGTGGACGTGAGTGAAGATGCTCGCGTGTTCTCTACTCGCAAGTAAGTTTATTATTTTTGTTTAAAAGCTAGAGAATTTGACTACATATGAAGTCGATATTTACAAAGTCTAGGTTGAGACAATTCGAAAAGCCTTAAAGGTGCATTATCGAACTTGGTAAATTTAGTCGATTTAGTTGCGATTGGCTGATGTGTTGATGGAAAGCAAATGTGAGGAATTAGCCGCTTTACGGTGATTTCCAGTATTATAATATATTTATGGTTTTAAGTTCTTTTTAAGCCGTGGTAGCCCAAAGGTTTGGTGGTAGGATCAAAATTTACCGAATGAAGGAAACTTTCGTGAAGGAAAACAAAATTTTAGTGAAGGAACATCGTAATGAAACCTGTATGTCCAAGAACGTTCACCAAGTCTCGAAAAACGTATGAAGTCTTCAACCCGCATTGGCCCAGAGTGGCGGATAATGATCTAAGCCTTCGCCTGAGAGGGAACCCCCGCCCAGCAGTGAGACGTATAAATGGGTTGATAATAGTGATGAGTTCTTCTTGTAACTGTTAGGGGCATTATACAATTTTCATACAAAAAGTTGACCCCATCACTATTAATTTCGAGACGAAAACTTACTTTACTAAGTATTAATTTAAAAAAAAATTAAGTTCTGTAGTTAAAATATTATTATATTTAAGCAAATGTATGCGAAGCAATCAAATCTTACATTATATTATAAAAATTTTTGAGGAGATGGATTTAAACGTGAGACAGAATTGCGACCTGGCCCCAGCTATCACAAAAAACTGTTACAAGAATACAATAGACAAAAAAGTTGATTTTTTTAAATATGTTTTGAGTGCTCCAGTCGTGTAGATAAAATTCAACAAATTGGGTGTGAAGATATTTCAGATTAGTTCGGCATTTCAGATAACTATGATGATGACTAATACTTTGTAACGCCTGGCCGTGCTGTGCCACGTTGGGCTGTACGCATTGGTAATTTCCAAAACTTCCTTCCCAATTAGTGCCCAGTGTTCATTGTCCAATAATACAACTTGTTTGTTAATATCAACAATACTAAAACGCGAGTTTTTCAAGGGAAATAATCAAAGTTCCGAAAAACAAATAAAACATGCAGCGAACAGAGGCTAACTGTAATATGTATAACTACGAACCAATAAGTCAAGAGACCTGATAATCTCCATACTACAGATCGCAACTCTGAAAAAATATTTTTTTTTATTAAATATTTTATTTAAAGTCATAATTGCATACTATACCTAGATGGCGCTGATCAATAGCCTGTAAATAATTTATAATATTTAAATGACCGTCTACATCAATTAATACTTCTTTAATATTGAATAATAGAAGTCAGGTCTTTTCCTTGATCATGAGCTAAAATTATTTTCAGAACTTTGACAAATATGCGTGTGAGTAGATGGCGTTGTGTGCTACAAACGAATTCATACATTAACGCTTCCTAATATGAGTAGATGGCGCTAATCTTAAAGAAAATAAAACAATAGCCGGCACTATCCATAAAAATCTGTGCAATAAGCGCCATCTAGTTGATTTGTTTGTTATCACTAGAAATTAGAGTAGCTTTGATAAGTTGCAGCTTGTCAATGTAAAACTAGTTAATTTACAAAATATTTGGCACTCGTCGCGACATCTAGTATACCAATAGGTACTAAATACCTACGCTGTCTTGTATCGCGATTGGCAGTCCTCTTCAAAAATCTGTGCAGTGTGTTGTTATTCTTTTACGTAATCTGTCTAGAATTGAATTTTGTCGTTGCTTTGATCTATTCTCATTATATGTATATATTAATAATAATAACAATAATAACGCACACACTCAACATAGCCCCGCACTAGGGAAACCCTGTGTCGCGGGTGCCATGGACACACACATAGACAACCACAAATTACACCCAAACTCACGAGAGAAATAAATGTAGGTCATACAAATATTTCGCCCGGCCCAGGAATCGAACCTGGGACCTCTGCGTGGCAGTCCGGCATGGTAACCGTTCGGCCAAGGAGGCAGTTAAATAGATAGATATCTAATACATAATTATAATATCTATCTAATAATTAGATATCTAAATACATCATACAACATTTAAACCGATTTACAATCACTTACTTTTAACGAATTTTTTTTCCGAAATAACGTTCATTCCAATTTTCATTACACCGAGAACCGAATTATAACGAAACCGTTGTTCTTTCAGGATATGTTGGATGTTAATCGCAAAAACACGAGTAGGTTCGGTAAGGTTAAGTTAGGTTTAAAAGAAAAAACATTTTCCTCTGAAAATTACTTTCGACGCCATGAAAATTCGAGCAAACGTTATTTCTGGAAAATGTCATTTCGAACTACTGACAGATAACCTATTTACACTTAATATGCGTATTATTATCTCAATGTATAACGCTTAATCGTTATATTTTTGCTTTCAAATAACTTAATCCCTCTCGATGGGCCTGACTGAAAACCAGCTCCTTAGGAAACTTTGGCATATGCTGAGTCAGCGCCCTTACACTGCGATGACAATCACGTTATGTTTTTTCTTTTATGCTTAATCTGTATTTGTGTTATATCAGTGAATAAAATGTTTATCTATCTCTTGATTTATTAAACGATCCTATACATTTAGTTATGACATTCGTAAAGAGGCTTTTGTGTACCTACTTAAGAGGTAACAATAAATTTCCAAATAACAAAACTGGTAGAAATAAAGTATTAAAACTATCTTCTTATTGAATACATTGAACAAGAATAAAAAATTTCTATACAAAGCAGTTGTTCGAAACTAAAGCCTCTCTACGAATATCATAGTCAATGTATGGGAGTGTTGAACGTTAAACTGTTGGACATTTTTAGTTTTATTTAAAAAAAGTTATTAATGTTGATTTACTCATTACACAACGTACTTTCGATATTACTTTAAAGGTTTTTGATGCCCATAACTTTACGGTATAATGGCCTGGGCACACTTAACGATTACACTCTGTATTGATTGATTAAAAGTAAATATTGAAATATCTTAGGATTTAGTATGTTGTTACTCAGAAAAGTATTTACGTATGAATGACGCAATAGGTTAACCAGCACCAACGTTTATGAAATTTATAATAGGTATAAGTTTTTGGTGTAAAAATAAAAAAAATTCCGAAACTTTCAGTATTTCATTCGGCTGTGGTTTTATATCCTCGATGGATTGTGTTCATATTTTTGTTTACACAAAGGTTATTGGTAGCTTAATAAATAACACAATGATATTCACGTTTTGAATAAACTCATTTTTAATTTACTTTCCTAAGCTTTTATTAGTGCCCGTTTGTTAACGTGATTTCTTTTGGTAAGTAAATGAAACTATTTTTCCGGATTTAAATTGCCCGAAACGTTGGTTTGTTTAAAAAAACAAATTAATATACGCGATTTAAATCCAGAAAAATAGTTTCATTTCCTATGTGTGACAATCGCGAAAACCTAAGAACTCGATATTCTTTTGATAATTTAAGACCACTTGATACCTATAAACTCGAATTTATTTGTTATTCCGTTAGATAGGTAAGTAAGTTACACAAATTACTTATATTTACAACTTCTCGGTGTATTCTCTTACAGTCTTCCGATAGACGATCGGCTCATGCCGTCCATCGGCAACGGACACATAGCTACGAACATCTTCAGTGACGCAGTCTTCATGAATGGCTTGTACAACGGACTAAAAGGGGATAGCCACCGCGCCAGAATCCCTGCCTACGCCAACATAAGACTTGATTCACCTTTAACGCGCCACTTGTTTAGACCTTTGTACAGTTTAGACACGTCGGAAGGTGCTTTTAAAGTAAGAGTAGACAGCGACAAGTCGGTTATAGTACAGAGGACTTACGCCCATAGATATTACACGAGAGCAATTGTCAATCAAATTCAAGTGACCCCGAAACCACATTCCGGTAAGTTTATATATGAAAATTAATATTATCATATATTTTTGACGATAATAATAATAATTTTTACGTGCACAACTTTAAATAACATCACAGCGAAACTGCTGTAATAATACTCTGCTATTCTTTTTTTAAAAGGCGCTTCGCTTTTTTGAACTAGTCACATTTAAAAAAAAAGTAATTCTGAAACATGTTTACTGTATCTTAACAGTAGTTAATGCAATACATGCACTTAATTTTCTTATTCTTTGACAGATCCACAAATTTGGGTACCGATCAGTCTTATGCAAGGTCCTGAGAGCAACGACATAACGTTCGAAGCACCCGTATTTGAGATTATTGAAAATCGTGAGTCTTGGAGTATGTGTGGCGAAACTAAGGAATCTGAAGACCCGGTATACCAGCCTGCGCCTGAAAAGATCTGCTTATATTGGACAGCGGTACCTAACCAGTTGGTAGTGCCGCAGCACAGCGATACACTTTTCACATTTGTTATGACTGCGGATAAAAAAAAAGATGTCGCGAGACAGGAGTTCGTTAAAGGTTAGTGTATTATTTCGTAAACTAAAATTGATAATTAGATAAGTCGATGTCATAATTAAGCGAACACTGTAGATTATGTCCAAGATGCCTATTTTTTAGAAGTACTACAAATAGTATATAGAAGTATACTAGTACAGAATTCATACAAAGAAATGTCGCTATTATAACTCAATTTAATCGGACGCTTATTTTGATTCTTAACGCTTATCAATAAATAATAGCTACCAAGTAAACCCGCGATGCGATTGGAATAGTATTCGACAAAGCCAACAGATGGTAGTTATTACATTTTTGCCAAGGTAATATAAGGTCAATATGAAAAATTGTCAATTTTCAAATTTTCGAGATTAATACAAACCATACATAATAACATCATGCCTGTCTCCCACTGTAGGTCCCTGAACCTCATTCACCTCATTCACTCCAGATTTATGAATCCTGTTTTTTATTTTAACCAATTGCCGCCGTCTACAGTTTTGAATATGTATTAAAGTAAATTTGTATAGATTGATACCCCATGGGAGTACTATTGCGTTCGTTGTCACATTGGATTGTTTTGAAAGACATTTCATTGTTTATTTTATCGAAATATGTACAATAAGATAGAAAGTTGTTCGCGTTATAATTAGTTCGTTTCATGTAAGTACTTCTAGTACTACATATTAAAATTTGCAAATGAGGTAAATTTTTACTTTAAATGCCTGTCAGCTGCACGCCGAGTACCTCTACATGATGGAATAATTTACTTGCGAGAGTGGGCGGACGGTCAAATAAGTGGGCGCTCCACGCGGAAGAGTGACGCACTAAATACAAACTTATTTGACACTAACAAATTTATTTGATCAAGAAATAAACACTACTTAGGTTCTTATCCGTGAATTTTTAGATAACTTATCGAGTGCTTAGGTTTTCGTGATTGTCATACGTTGGAAATTAGGTTCATTTCTTCTTCAAATCTAAGTCGAGTATATTTGTTTTTGTTTCGTTCTCCGTCCGATGTTCCCGTCTGGCCCTGTACTCTCGTCCTCCGTCCGACATCAATCCGAAACAATTACTGTCAATTAAGTAATACTTGATCAAATTTAAAGACAATATCAAGTATGAAGCTGCATTCACATCACCCGCCTAGAATTGTTTTGAAAAAAAAAAACAAATATACACGATGTAGATAACTTATTGACCAAATTATATCTAACGGTAGTTTACTATTGGTGTCAATTCTCGTGTAGTAAATGAGAACTTTAAAATACCGCAAAATGCCGATTTCAGTTACACTAACTGCGATTATAGAATGTACGTTGGACAGCTCAGTTTGAGAAAGTTAAATATCCACTTTGCTATTTAAAAATGAACATTTTGTTCAATTTTTAACTGACGTAAGATACAAGTTACATTGCCTACAGTGTTGCAGGAGGAAGGCGATGAGCTGTATAGGAAACACGTCGCCGAGTGGCAGACAACCCTTCAACAAGCGGGAATCGACATTGAGGGAGACTTACACTTGGTCAGTGCTAAGTAACAAAACTTATTTATTCACAATTGCAACCTCAAGAAGGCCTAAAATACTTTGGCTTACACGAGTTCGTGTTATACGGCTATTGGCAGGTCTCTAAATACTCATTGTAAATGGTACCACAGTGCACAAACAAACGTTCTCTTTGGAACGACGAATATGCAATTATAAGTAGATAAAAATTGGTTGATAGGGTGTTCTGTCCACAGCACAGCTTGGAATGAATTAGTGACGAAAGTTACAGTTAGGGTGAGTGGGTATAGTGCTTCATTTTGTTAAATTAATGTGTAATTATAAATATATTGTATTTTAAAGTGCACAAACAAAAATAATTTTCTGCTTCCAGGCTAAAATAGTGAACGGCATGTGGTACTATTTACTCAGCTCTCTGCCTTCGCAAAATTCGTACCATCCTCCGGAACCATTCTACGGACTGAGCCCCGGGGGACTGGCCAGAGGGGCCTATTTACAAGATTATCAAGGTATGAAGAATTATTATGAAGGAAGAAACACAATAGTACGTGTACTTTAAAAAAAACAATGATCGATAGGTAACTGTTTAAGCACGTGTCCGTGCAAAGCCCGGATGCCCCTTCTACCATCAATGCCAGAGTTACCATTTAAATTTTTTCTATAGATCTAATTTGAGTCAAGTCGATAACTGTTCTATAAACTAATAACTTAAAGTAGACATTGTACCTACATATTTAGCCCCACGGCTACGGGACACGGAGTTAAGAGTGCGTGGCTACATGTATTTCAGGGCACAACTTCTGGGACACGGAGACGTGGATGTTTCCACCGATCCTGCTGTATCACCCTAACTACGCCAATAAGCTGTTGCAGTACAGACTCAACACTGCACCCGTGGCCAAAGATCTCTCCAAAGCCAGAGGCTATAATGGATACAGGTAGTCTATTTATATATATTTTAATTTATTTTTTAAAGAGCATGCCAACATGTTAGCGTATTACATTTTATGATAAATAGAAATAAAATAAATACTTGAAAAACAGGCACAATTAAATTAATACAAAATACTAAACAAAACATGATATCACACTGAATACAATAGTGTATTAACTCGAAAAATGTATTTCTGCCAGAATCGATGAAAAACTAATTACTCACTTCTTGTGAAAGATCATTAAAATTCATGTATAGTTTCAAGTTTAACACAGACATCTAAACAATTTTTACTATTATCGGAAAATAAAAAGGAAAAATAACTGAATATTTTTGCTTAAAGGCTCTTTTGGCTAAAATAGCTCACATAAAGTTTGTCTCATTTTGATTTAAGTAGATATCTTTTAATTGTATTCTAACGACGTTTTATGTAGAGAATCGAATTTTGCATTCAGCAATGACATGATTTTGAATTTCACATATTTTGAGTTACAACATTATTGTAATAGCAGTGCGATATGTACATTGCAAAAAAAACTAGTGCGAATTATCCAAACTAAATAAAATAAATCAGTCTGTAGAGCACTGTGGGTACTTATAGTTAAAACGGAAACACAGACATTCCTAGAAACTACGAAGCTTGTAATCGACTAAGTGTTTTTGTCGATTACGAGGGAAGATTCAAACAAGAAGTTACAAAATATAAATCGAATAAGTGTAAGCTGCGGATTCTAGAGTAGACAATGGGCGCGCAGGGTTGAATGTTGGTCGGTAATAGCGTTTAGTAAAGCTGGTGGCTTCACACGGCCTGTAATTTCACGCCAATTTGTACGAGCGAACTCGAGTCATAGACAAATCTGGGCCGCCTCGGGACTACGACTGTGGTGGCGCGTACCCAGCGTCCATACTCTGCTTTGTGCGGCCTTTTGAAAATGTCATGGGAAGAACGCGTACCTACTTCTGCAACCACTCTTGTATTATACATTGGATACAAGTTACTTACAGGCGAGTCCGCGCCGGCTCGGACTCGACTCTCCCACCCTGGTTTAACGGGTAATGCCACATTAACACGGAAACTACCGAATTTTTTTAAAATTATTTTTCAGTTTAGTTATATTTTGGCAAAACAGGATCGATGGTTATATCGAATACATTCAATAAGCTTGATTATATCTCTCGGAGATGGGTTAACGGGCGACAACGGGACGGACGTGTGTCGGGCGTTTGCGGATACGTCTAGGGCGCAATAGATGGGGTTGACACATTTTTGTTTCAATTTTGCATACGTTTACTTCTGAACTGACTTCAAAAAAGAAGGAGGTTCTCAATTAGACTATACTATATTAATATAATAATTTTTTATTTTATTGTTTGTGTGTACCGATTGTCGTTGATTCTATTTTGTTGGAAAGGGGATGCTTCACTTCTGGTCCCATTCAAGTGATCCACCTTTTAAGGGTGGCAAATTAGGAGATTGTCCGTTAACCGACTTCAATAAAACTTGCTCATAGATATAATTCCAAAGAAAATGAAATGTTATGGTGACCAAGAGCTGATTTGATGATGGAAATGACAGACAGATGAAAGAAACTCCTCAATAGTGTACAGCAGCTACCTTGTGTTTGGATCCTTAAATGATTCGTTTTGACCAGGACTTCCAAATACATTAGGTCTTATTCAGAGCGGAGGCGGACGAAGGTGCGTGTATATCAAATGTACGTCGACGCTCGTTGAGTTCACAGTGCCCGTCTCGAGGTGTGGGTGCGGGTGGACCTATTGGCTCAGTCCGCCCGTACCTTTCACAGTGCTTGGTCTAGCGTCTGTTTGCGATTTCGACATGTGGATATACCCGCTCGTAGCCGCTTCGGCACTTTGAAAAGGAAGACGCCAAGACCCACGCGTCTTTTTTTAAATTTATTTATTCAAAATACACAGAATACTTAATCTATACTTATCAATAAGACTCCTTTCAAAAACCCTTTAAAGGGTTTATACGAAGGGAGAATGCATCGCTTTTGTTACAATTTTGAAAAAACCCAAGTAATATTTTTTTAATGCTTGTTTACATTTCCTAACATTCATTAACATATCTACATGGAGCTGCACAGGTATCTTCTTTAGAATGTCGGGCAATATGTACTCCGTCCTCATACCGTATGCGTTAGTACTTCTAGGCAGTTGATACGTAGGTAGATACGTTAAAGTATCTTTAAAGTATCGTTAAAGTATCTTTGAGAGATAAGTTTAAGAAAGTTAATTAACTTTCTTACACTAGCCTTACAGTACATTTATGAAAATGTAATTTATGTTAAAAGGAATAGTAATTTTTTTATGAAAAATAGTGCGAGACATAACATTAATACGAGGATAAAAAATAAACTAGCTTTTCTTGATAGTCATCTTCACAAAGTCAAAAAATCATTTAATGGGCAATGTATACGCTTCTATAACAATATTCCGGTTGATATACAAGTTTATATACAAATTCACGAGGTTTAAACTATAGTGAACAAAAACTTTATACTAAAGGTTATTATACAACTTCTGCGTACTTGGATGACAAAAATCCGTGGTAGTAACCCGTTTAGCTAATGGAGGTAGTCTCGATCTCTGATGTTTCAAATAAAAAAAATAAATTGTAAATGTTATTTACAAAGAGCAATCCCTAGAGTTTCTCGCTCATTCTTCTCAGGGGAATCTGCCTTACGAATGAGCGGTAGAGTTTAACCATTGTGACGATTTCAAGTGTAATAATGCTTACCTATGAAATAAAGATTATTTTGAATTTGAATTTGAATAAGGTACGTAATCGATTTTGTCTACTATTTTTGTTAAGACACCAATATTTTCGAATTTATCTAATATTAGTAACATGTTTTATTTGTCAAAGACCGACATCACCTTACAGTGGTTAAACAGGCCAGTGTTGTCACCTTTAAATTATTTTTTAATTGATTTGGTACAATTGTCTTAATTAGGCTAACTTGTAACTTATAAATGTTGTCGAAATACGTTCTATATGTACGCCCGTACAAAGCAAGGTATAAATAACATTCTAGGTGTATGATATGGTCATTTGTACCTCAATATGGAAAGTTTAGCATTAATAATCTTAGCTTGTTAGTGACACTTTCGATATGTGGCCCCCAGTAGAAGTGTTTGTCGATATATAATAAGGCCCAAATATGTATGCTGTTCAACTACGTGTAGGGCTAGACAAGTGCACGCGAGCGCTTTGCATATGCCGACGGTGGACTGGTGTTCCAGGCACGGGTGACCATGCGCGATTATAGCGGGTACATGAATTGTTTTTTTGTACGGGGAATGTATGTGAATGATTTTGGTTTTGACTGCACCCGCCGCCGCGTTCGCGCCTGCGCTCTGAATGAACCCTTACAGTAATCATTGAGGAGACGCGGTAGCGAACACAGCAAAAGCGGATAAATATACATTTTAGGTCGATTATTTTATATGTAAGAAACTTATTGTTATCAGGTTCGCATGGGAGAGCGCATTCACGGGTCGTGAGGTCACACCTGAATGCTGTCCCGAGGTTGTCGACTTCGAGGAGCACATCTCGGCCGACATCGCTTTTGCTGCGAGGCAATATATCGCCACTACTCGCGATGAGAATTGGCTACAGGTGGGTTTTTGGGAGCTCTCTGTAAAACAATGTTTACTTCAAGTTAACAAACGTTTAGTAGCAGTACACCTTCTTGTGAAAGAGTTCGTCCAGGGATGCACTGCCACGTTACCTATTACTGCTGCCAGGCGCACGACGTGTTCGTCCCGTCACTAGGTATTATAAAAAAAAACGTACGCGTACGATACACTACTATCTAGTGTCGTAATGGTGGGAACGGCGGGCCGCAGCGTAACTTATAATATTGTCTATTGTACGGACAACGGCACATCAGTCTACACATTTTTCTTCGAAAATCGCCTCCAGTGCAACGGAACAAGATACGTCAATGTGTAACTTGATGTGCTGGCGTGTGTACATTATAATTATTATCTATACACCACAGTAACCAATGTAAGTACCTACACAGGGAACATAAATTTGAGAAAGTTACCGACTTTGATAAAAACAAATTTATGAATGGCGACTGTTTGCCTATCCTCAGACGCGACATGAGTACCAGATTATTTTATGATACTAACTGACGGAACCAACAAGTCGTGAACCTGATAATAAGCGACACGCATGGCCATAACAGTTGCAGTTCCACTCAGAGCTTTAAATCGCAAAAATCTGAGCGCCTGTGCCACTGCGCCCGTCACCCTGAGACAAGATGATAAGTCCCAGATGCCTGTAATTTCACAGGGACAGGGTTTCGTATCTTTCTTACTATAGTATTGCTAAGTACCCTTCTATTATATAAGTAATTATATAACGTGATGCAGGCAAGTACATTCTTACTTAACGCTAAAGTGTTTTCTTTGCAGAACGGAGGCTGCGACCTTGTGACCAACATCGCAGACTTCTGGGCTTCAAAAGTCGTCATGAACCACGATACGGGATATTACGACATTCCTAGTAGGTTACTTTTAAATTATTCGCCAGCGGTCTCTGTTCTTGTATAAGGCCGTGGTGGCCTAAATGTATTTACGTAATAGCATTTGAACGTGATTTGTGGGGAAACCTGCACGTCGAAGAGGGTGTGAAGTTTTCAACCCGCCTTGGGCCAGTGTGACTATGTGGCCTAACCTCTCGCGTGACAGGAGACCCGTGTCCAATACTAGCACGTATAAATGGGTCAATGGTGATGATGATCTCTGTTTACATAATGTGATTAAAGGTCTCCGAACTGTGTTTATTAATATTACACTGTAGTATCTTTTATAATAGTAATATACATTAAAGTGAATGAAAATTCTTATTTCAGACGTGATGGGACCTGACGAAGACCACCACAACATAACCAATTCTGTATTTACCAATGTTGTAGCAGGATTTTCGCTGTATTTAGCTCAGTGAGTAAATTAATTAGATTTGTTGAAAATTTATTTGTAAATAGTGGAGCAACAGATGTTTCTTCCTGACTGACGGATGAATCATGATTACCTCCACAGAATAGATTTTTATTTAATCCTCCAGAAAGATGTTTACGCCAGGAAATATTTCTTAGTCTGATAATAGATATTATCGCTTACGACGAAACGCATATTTCGTTTCGTCAGTAACAATAAGCCTTAAGCGGCATTAACTTCCTCAAATGAATTTTATAGATACGCATCATGCCTCTGCAAACCCTACTATGAGGTGAAGAATCCAGACAACTATGCAAATATCGCCTGGAGTCTCGCCTTGCCGTACGACGAAGAGCTGGACTACCACCCGCAGTACCAGGATTACGAACGAGGAGTTATAATCAAACAGGCTGATGCAATTCTGTTGGGTTTTCCGTTGCAGTATCCTATGAAAACGTACGTCTGTGTGTTTGTCAAGCCCGATATATCGACGGCCTAGCGCACACTTGCACTAATTACACTTTTGGAAATTTTACAATAGAGCAATTCGAAAGTTTGACTTCGAATTCCAGAAACAACTTACTATGTATGACTGATTAATACCATTTATAAAACAGGCTCTCAAGGTAGCACATTTGAGTACACATTGTGTAGCGCTTAATACTTTAGGTAATTAAAAATTATCCAATAATACGCAATTATTACATTTGTGCTTTTAACACTCAAGTACTAAAATCAGTTAACGTGATTGTGCACAGATTTTGACCGATATTAGCAACTAACAACTACACGTTTTTTTTCTGGAAATAAAACCAGTTAATTTAAAGACGTACGAAGTAAGTAATTTCCTAAAAAAAAAAATAGGAACACTTCTATTATTGGAGACTAGTTTTCAGCTCAGTTACAAATTTGACGTGGCGGTTTTACAAGGAAGAGACAACATATTGGAGTTCTGGTGAATGGGAACGACACAGGGTGACATTTAACACATTTGGCACCGATATAACAAAAAATGAGTAATTATGCACTTAATGCAAATGTGCGCTAGACCATCGATATCCTTGTTGTCAGTATTCTAACACATAATAATATTTTTTTTCTTATATTACAATTAATTTATCAATACTTATGGGCATAGTTAGCGTATTCCGTATTCGTGTATGAAAGGAGTACTGTAAGTTTTTATTCCATAATGGTTCATGTAGTTCTGAACCCTGAATCTTCAATGTGTTTCGTTCATCAGGAGCACGCGAGCTAACGATCTTGCTTACTACGAGACGGTGACGCGAGACAACGGCCCCGCTATGACGTGGAGTATGCATACCATCGGGCACTTGGACCTCGGCGAAAATGAACAAGCAGCACTTATATTTAACAGGAGTTATGAACCTTATGTTCGGCAACCTTTCAAAGTGAGTACCTAGATCACAGACATGTAGTCAACGACGCAAATACCGCGATCTGCATGGAAACCAAGCGTGCCACATTTTTTGTACGTCCTTTGACGTCACAAGCACTTTTTAGTGGTGGGAAACCTCATTCGGCGTTAAAGCGATTAATTTTATCGGCGACGGCGATTTAGAATACCTAATAATTTTTCATGTATTTATTTAATTTAAGGAGCCGAATTATTAATATCGTAAAATATTATCAAAATAATTAAGATAACTATGTGATAATGATTGCATGAATGCATTCAGTTTCGTGATATCCTGTTTTGATTAAAATTTTGCGATTAGTGATGTTTACTTTATGCATAATTAGGTATTTTTCGCGAATTCGACTGTTGTTTAACTACGATAACGGCCGAACGCGTTCTGAAGTTAGCAGCGGCAACTAAGAATTTTTATATTTATTTATTGGGCACGCGAATTAGGTACACTTGCAGCGTCTATTTAGATATAAAATATGTATGAGACTAGATGCTATTCCTGAAATGACATTTTCCTTCGATACGATTTACAAATCTTGCATTCTGCAAGTAAGAATATTTAATTTCTGTTTTTCTATTCTTATACAAATAAGCTCTACTATGTAGTACAGATTTTTTTTGCACTCATTTCTAGCCTCGCACTAGAAAAACCCCGTATGGCGGGGGCCATGGACACACACATAGGTAACAACCGCAAATTATACCCAAACTCTCAAGAGAAATAAAAATGAAGAATACATGAGCTTGGTGGTAAACGACACGCCTGTCCATAACAGTTGCAGAGCCACTCAGAGTTTTAAGTCACAAGGATTTGAGGGGCACTGCGTCTGTCACCCTGAGACATAAGTTGACAAGTCCCATGTGACTTCACCAGCACACTTACTCTTCAAAACCAGAACGCAGTAATAATCGAGCTTTTTCACAAGGAGCTCTACTGCAACTAAGCTCTACTTCTCCCGGCCCGGGAAACGAACCCCGGACCTATACAGCTTTAATGTCCTGTCGCTAACCATCTGGAATCTATCTAGATTTCTCAATGCATCTCTTACTTATAGATGTGGACCGAAGCTCGCCTCCCCGACATCGGAGCGGTAAACTTCTTAACGGGCATGGGAGGCTTCTTGCAAGCTCTGACCTTCGGTTACGCAGGTGTCAGAATACATCTGGATCGACTGGAGATTAATAAGCCACAATTACCACCTGGAGTCAGTAAATTTACAGTTAGAGGTTAGTCGAATTTATAACGTAATAAGTTTAAAAAAGCAAGGCATTTTAGAACGGTTACTCACGCGCGACTTTAACAGATGACCTTTATACAAACGCGCGATCACATCGCTACACTTGTGGTTTTTAAGCGTTAAATTCGTATATCGATGCAATCGCGCGTTTGTATCGATACAGTCGTGAGTTTGCATCGATGCAATCGCCTATAAATCGCAAGTGTAGCGATGCAAAAAAATGCTGAAAGTCGCAATGTGTAACCACTCTTAATATCCAATTCATTTCTGACAGAAGTAGATGTTATGAATAAAACAAACACGAACGTATTAGTTACATGATTGTCTGAACTGGCATCCGCGCCTTATAATTCGAGAGAGAATGTTCTATTTCAGGAATAAAATACCTTGGAGCAGAGCTAACCCTGGATATCGATTCAGAAGGCACAGTGATGAACGTATCGAAACTTGACGATCAATGGCCTCTTACCATGACCAATGGAAACGACAATGTCGCGTTGAAACCCAATACCAAAGGTACACGACACAATATCCTAATAGCTGGAAAAGGTGGCAGTAACATTTATTTTTGCTCGAACTATTATTATAACCCAATCTAATACGGTGAAATTGCAAAGCTATTTTTTTCCACGGTGCAATATGCAAGTTTTCAATATTTTTGCGTGGAACATAGACAGAGACGTTCATTCATGAAGAGCGGTACGCCGCCGCCGCTCCTAGAATCAGGAAATCGGTCAATACCAATATTATTTATTTCTGATAAAATATATCTGTGGAGGGAAGTTATTTTTGTTTAAGCTTGATTTGAACGGCCGCTTAACAGAACGAAGGGCCTTGTTTATGTTAACCTAACGTAACCTAAAACGCTAAATTGAATATTTAAGTTTTGGTGAGGTCGATTAGTTACTTCAATTTGGAAATAATATGGCTCCCACAAGATTCTAGATCTTGTTTATTTCTTTTCATTTCTTTGTATATATACGTAGGTGTATGTAATACGTATTATCGTTATTGCCCAAAACTACTTAATTTACGATTAATAGCAAAATGGCGCGTGACGCGTCAATTGGGCGTGCATTAGTTCACGGAACTGTCAAGACGAGAGAGCTATTTACGAATATTTTAGAATGCTATTTAAATAAAATGCATGTACTATGATATTTATCTACAAAATATCATAAACCCTCTATGATGTGTTCAAAAACCGCAAATTACGACCAGCAAAAAGATAAACTGTTTCATTAGAATAAATTTCTTATCTGTGCAAATGTTATTATTGCTTCAACATCGTATTCGATTTCATTAAGACATTCAAATTTCGAACATCTCTGAAAAGCAAAACAATTTGATACGACCTCAATTCTAATATCAGTCGAGATGAAGTTTTATTCGAAATGAAAAGTCAATAGCAAACAATTTTGACAAATTTCACACGTTAGTTGATATCGAACGATATGATCGTTGGGGCTGACTCTAGTTTGTCTATGAATTAAATGAAGACTACGGTTATGTCACATGCGTGAGAAAAGCTTTTATTTGCCGCCATTTCGCCAGTCGTAACATGCGGTTCCTGAACACATCACAGAGAGCTTATAATATGTGTGTAGATAAAGCAGTGTATGTACATAATTAGGCAATAAAACACTTGTGTGATGTTTTTAAGACACCCGCCTGTCGGCTCGTTTCATAAACCCACACTCGTATTTGAATGCCTTACATACAGTAACAGTCACTTAAAGTACTATTTCTTGTCAGATATTTAGAACCTTTTTCTTTTTTTTATGCTGGCAATAGTAACTTTTGTGTACAACCAGAAAGTCAAACTAATTATTGACGACTACTTAATGTACCAAGCTGAGAATAATAAAGTTAATTACCCTTCGGTACAATTGACTACCGAATTATTCTACTTTCCCGATCGGTCCATTTGTTTTTCCCGATTCGTCTACTTCCCATTTCGTCTACTTTCCTGTTAATTATTATTCATGATACATGAAGACTGACAACTTACAATTTCAGCCTCGTCATAAAGAATGCATTTCTGTTGACTACATTGATAAAAAAGTCTTCACCAAGTAACATTCTATGTCTGTATCGTGATTTTTTTTTCAATCTAATATAATATACTCGTACACTCAATAACACATTCAGCTTTTCACTTTGGAATTCTAACCATTCTTATTATAATAAGTTGAATTTATATCCTTGTGTAAAGCTGAGAATGCTGTTAAATATACCAATATTTTCCACAGTGACTCTTCAAGGTTCCGGCCCGTTTGTGATAAGATCTGTCCAGTGGAAAAACTGCGAACTGCCTGTAGAGATGATCGGCCAAAACTTCAGACCTTTGGACACGAAGTTTTAAACTATACGTTTAATTTTTACAAAATATAAAATGTAGAAAACCTTGCTAAATTAACTCAGAAATATGTGCAAGGAAACTTAATAAATTTAGATGTCTTTACATACGAAATTGTCGATTGTTTTTTGTAAAGAACTAAGCATTTAAAAAAATTGTAACCTTATTTTCTAGTATCTAATTGTCTAATGACTCCCTGATCCCATTATTCCATGAGCTATGCCACGTGCGAAGGAGTGAAATAAACGTAAATAAAAAATATAATTGTTTAATTTCGCAAACAATATAGGTACATATACCTACTTATTTAAATAAATATAATGTGTACATATAATCAATTAGTGCCTGAGAGCCACTGGTTAGTTTCTCGAGACAGAATTAACTTTCTTCGTTTAATGAAATAATTAAAATACTTTAATAAATAAATAAATAACGTACACACTCATAGCCCCGCACTAGTCAAACCCTGTGTCGCGGATGCCATGGACACACACATAGAACACCACGAATTACACCCAAACTCACGAGAGAAATAAATGTTGGCTATACAAACATCTCTCCCGGGAATCGAACCCGGGAGAGATGTTTGTTTGAACGGTTACCATGCTGGTCTGCCTTTGCGTGGCAGACCAGCATGGTAACCGTTTGGTCACGTAGGTAGTTTGGATAACGTCAAACATTTAAAAGTAGATCGTTCTACACTTCAACTTTATATGTAATAATTCAAGCCACCCATTTTAAAAATAATTTAGGTATACAAATTTAAATTTTACCTTATTGCCTTGTTTCCTTTCATAAATGCTGCTTGTTGTCGAGGTTCCAGACACTAACTTCTGATCTCACCAGAATCGATTGCAGGTAACCGTTATAGGACCACTCTGTTACAAAATCATCTTCTGTTTCCCTTCTAACAACATATTTGTTTCAAGTCTGAAAAAAGAATACTTTATATCCGCAATGTGCAAGTCTAAATCCAATTTATAAATAAATCATCATCATCCATGGCCTGTTTTCACCCACTGCTTCCATCCATCACGGTTCTTTGCTAGCCGCATCCGTTGACGCTTCGCGACGCATACTGTGTTGTCGTCCCAACTGGCAACTGGGCGCCCGACGCTTCTTTTGCCCATCCTCGGCCACCAATCAGTCGATGTCTTGCTCCACCTGTCATCACCTTGCCTTGCTATGTGTCACGCCCTACCCCTATAAGAGTTCCATGATCCGAATTCCAGCTTCCTGGACTTTCGTCCGTCGTCGGATCTCAACGTTCGGAACTCAGTCTACAAGGATGATGCCGTTCATGGCGCGCTCCATGGCCCTCTGTGCAGCTCTCAACTTGTAAACAGTCAGACGGTAGCGTCCGTGTCTCGGCACCATACGTCATGGTGGGCAGAGCATATTGATTAAACAAGCAGGTCTATACACTGTGTAAATAAAAAGACTTATTTATCCACTTGCCAGAAATTAAAATAATGGCATAACAAAATAAAATTAAGTTATATTGACAAAAGGACAAAAGGTCTATACCAGTTAGTAGATATTCGCTTGTACGTAGCACCAGGATGGTGAGCGGAGTATACACCAACTATATATTGTGTAAGCACAATGAGTTGTAAAGTAACTTTTTTATTTTATTTCAAATTGAAGTGAACATTTAGTGTTGCTAGAAGTTTTCATTGAGAGCCAGTTGTTGCTCAAATTATGTGCAGACAGAAGGTATTGTGTAGGTAGAGTCTGTGCCCTCACATAGGTATCCACTATTTGTACCAAATGCTTTACAAATAGTGGATATCTAAGTGAGGGCACGTCGGTACATAGTTCTTTAAAAGGATAGTGGTAGATTATTTCTAGTCATATTTACTCATCCAATTATCGAGTTTGATTTAGTTTATTTGTGCAACAACACCCAATGTCTACTAACATAATGATGTCATAATGATCTCCATGTAGGGTGCCCTATTAATGTAATTTGCCAACAGCATTAGTAACAACATCAAACTTCAGGCAAAAATGCAACGCAGTTTGAATTATATGTAAAATAAAAAGAAACATTTTCAATAAAATCTTGTTTTATTTAACAGATATAAATCTGCTTACTGATATAACAAAAACCATATTGATTTTGAAAAATAGCATGATAATCATGGTTTACGAAGCAACCTATAAAATAGCCCTACATTTTACTTAACACTATTGTTTGAAAACATAAAAAAAGTGTAAACTAGCTTAAAATATACTTATGACATTTTCCAAACACTTTGATTTCTACTGCCAATGCTCGGACATCAGATTTCTGTCGGGAACAAGTGATTGTTCCCTCTATAATGTCACCCTGTTTTACTTCTTTGCAATCTCTAAAGAAAAATACAGTTTGTTTCCAATGTGTAGGAGTGGCTTGAGGTCCAGTAGAAAAAGAAACATTATTAGGCAGATCAAAAAATGTATCAAAATAACCACATAAAGAGGTTAAACAACCATCTTTAGTAATAGGAAGCTGAAATGATGAACAGAAATCCATCACATCAGTTGTACAGGTATTTATATCTATCTCCTTTACCACATATGGTTCCGATAATATATGTTTAGAGCTAACTATGTCAATACTTGCTTCCCTCACCACTTCAGATTTCATGCAGTTCATTTTAAACCCGTACACATCGGACCAAAACTCTATCAATTTCTTATGGGTGTCAACATCTCCATTAGCCACGAGACTAATATTGCATTTGTTTGGTAATAATAAACCTCCAGGTTTCAAGTAATTGTCCCTTGCATAAATGACACTGTCTAACATTCCTTCAAAGAGCAGAAAGTAGCCCATCCATTCTGAAACTATTATATCCACCTTTTCTTCCAATGTTGTGTTTTCTAATCTGCCTTTTATTGGTTTTATTACATTATGAAGGCTGTTCTCTCTTATAATGTCCATAGCGTGGTAGATAATGTCTGATTGGTCCAATGCATAAACTTTCTTAGCACCAGCGGTTGCAGAGAACATAGATAAAATAGTCGTTCCGCAACCAAGGTCAAGGATTATTTTATCTTGAAATGTTTCAGTGTTATTAAGTATAGCATTGCGGTAACTTTCTGTACGAACTTTGTCTGATAACATGTCATAGTGTATCCCGAAGTGTGCGTAAGTATTAAAATACCCTTCATCGTCTTCTAAAGGTAAATTCGACACACATTTTGGTATTAAATTATCGTGATCATCATTATTACTTGGACTGCCTTCCACAAGAGTTTTCATTGAACTTTGCATTTTGCTGATATCCTCCCTAGCCATTTGCAAATGTGTCTGACTCTCCTTCAATTGCTCAGACAAAGTCTGTATTGTTCTTTGTAGTTCAATAAAGTGAGCCTGCGACAAGGTCACAAGGCCATTTTCAACATTTGCGTGGTACGTCTTAGGTGAACTAGGCTTATCAGTGAGTGAATCGAAGTCATACATAAACCAATCATCGTCTTCTATGGGTTTTAAATACTTTTCGTCGTCCCAAAGTACCTTTTTTGCTGAAATCACTGTCTCTGGACTTGGTTTATGTGTCTTGATATAATTCACAAGTTTTATGTACGAATAACAATCCATGTTGAATTTCTGCTTCATAATGTTCAAAGAAAAGTTGTGTACCGATTCACAGTGCGCTACCGCTTCTTCAACAGTGTTAAAAATGTTTGCACAAAACAGGCAAGTTACAGTTGTGTTACTTGTCTCCATTTCCTGCCATTCTTCCTCCTCGGAGTGTTCCTCGTCGCTACTAAGATCTGGCACGTCAGACATATCGGTTTTATGAGGGAATTTTTGGTAAACAAACAACTATCAGGTAAAAATCACAAATACACAAATAAATGCAACTATACACGAACCATGTGGTAACTGACATGTCATTGTAAGTAAATGTCAATGTCACAGTGACAGTAACCCTGGGGTACTGTTTTCGCCGACAAAAATAACCGCAGACACTTCTTCGATACAGAGACGACATTATCGATATTAGATTTGCCATTAAACACCACCTCAAAAATGGACTTGGATACATTTTTAATTGAATCAATCATTCTAAAGTTGGTTAAAATTGATCAAAAAATTTTACGATTATTTATATATTTTTTGTAAGAATAATTTATTCTTGTGACTGAATAAATATTTTTAACTGATATTTTGTTTCATAGAAATTATAAAAATCTTTTTAGATGTTGTTGAACGAAAAGGCGCGAAAGCATCAAAATTTTGATTTGGCGTCAAACGAATTTTTCCTTCCGTTGCCATAGTTACTGACTTTTTACAACAATTTATTTGAAATCACGTGCGTATATTCAATTAACAATGAAACTTAAAATATCTTCGTTCAAAGAACCAAAACATGTTGGTGTTGTTGTTTGTGTTAATTGGAACAATACCGAAGACGTATTTTCTTGTGGGTTCGTAAAGTTTTATTACTATATCTTAGAATACTTAGGTAATGCATTATTTGTATTGAGTATGTGATAATGTAAGTATCATTTCTCTAGAGATGACCACAAATTACTGAAATGGAACCTCGTAAACAGCGAATGCATGACGGTTACAACGTTTCCGGATGATTTTTATCCAACAAGAATGTGTTTATTCCCGAAAATCAATATCGGAGGAAACAAACATCAACATGACGTGATTTTGATTGCATCTGCTGACGGGAAGTAAGTAATGCTGAATCAAGAACAGGTTAAACTTGTCACTTACGATGTAAATGCAACGCTATGTATGCTCTTTGCGATAAGAATGAACGGATCTATCTATAAATAATCGACAATAGCCCATAGAGTATCTATTAAAGTAAGTTTTATGATATTTAATTATTCGAGACATATTTTCGATGTAAAATATGACTAAGATTTCTTCTTGATATTTGCTTAAAAAAATGCGATTGTTTCCTTTTATTGTGCCTTTTTTGTACTTATGACTTACAAGAATAACATTGTATATTTATGCGCCACGGTCAAGTAGCTTATATCCTACATGTAAGCATAAATTTTGAAGATATTTTTTATACAGCGGGTCATGTAAACTAAGCCAATAATACTTTCGATATATTTGGATTTTACTTGTACATTACATGTAGGTTCCACATTGTGAATCATAATGGTCGAATTGAGAAGAGTGTAAACGCTCACCAAGGTGCATGCCTCACTGCACAGTGGAGCCCGGATGGAGCTGGTCTTCTTACAGGTACCGATTCACAAGCTCAGTTAGATTTTGTTCGTCAATATATTTCCGGATATCAGATAAATTTGTTGTTGTTATAACGAGTTTTGTATAATACAGTCGGGGAAGACGGTTTTGTAAAGGTGTGGTCTCGTAACGGTCTCCTGCGATCGACCTTGGTGCAATCCGACGTGCCAGTGTATGACGCTGTATGGAGCCCCGACAGCAGCGCCATCTTGTACACGAAAGGAAACTTCCTTATTATAAGACATTTGCACTCGAGCTCTAAGATAACTAAGGTGATCGTTTCTTTTTGATAAACACAATTAAAATATTGACTTATTTACTAGACACCTTTGTCCAACCTAATGATCATCCATCAATACGTCATAAAGTGTCGTTGTAGATTTGAAGAAAAAATATATTATAACAATTATGTGTACAGAATTGCTAATTAGCCAAAGGTTTACTTTTTTCAGTGGAAAGCTCACGAAGGTATTGTTCTCTGTGTGGCATGGAACGCTAATAATAACTTGATTATCTCTGGTGCCGAAGATGGCTTCTCGAAGGTAGTTTCACTATTCAAAATTTATTGTGACTTTTTTTAAATTGCGTTTATTTATTTATTCTAATTGTTCTGAACTTCTATAAAATTGAAAAAACTAATTCCAGATTTGGGATACATTCGGTCAACAGATATCAGTAAGCGTAAAGCATGATCAACCCATTACAAGCATTAGCTGGTCTCCCGCTGGAGACCTTTTTGTTATTGGAAGTTATAACTTGATACGACTATGCAGTGCCAACGGTGTAAGTTTAAATACATCATTATCTGTACCAATAAGAATGTATACTAGTGCTAAACTTAACTTTATTACGTAGGTGTTGTATCTAATGGAAATGGTTCTATTCCAGTGGTCTCATTGCTTGGATCGCCCAGCGGTAGGTAGTATTTACAGTATTGCTTGGTCTTCGGATGGAACTCAACTGGCGACGGCTTGCGCCAATGGACAAGTTTTATTCGCTCATATTATTGACAGGTATGCTCTTGTACGCCCAATAGAATTGTCGGTTTTCTATCGGAAACATTTCAAAGAGTGTACGCAGGAACTTTACAATTTAGTTCTACGGTTGACTAGATAATGCGGAACACTATCCTCGTTGGCATTTCCACCCAATCGTTCAAGGCTCTTTTCTTCTTCTGCTAATTAATATCGTACTACAAACTAATTTATAATTGGGGGCTATTCAAGACTAAAGAGAGAAAATGTACATTTTTAACGTAACATTTTTCTGTCACATGGTCACAACATGAAGCGTCTGTCTATTGCATATTTTAAATAATAAATTGAAGATTTTTAAATGTATTACCATTAACTATAGTACAAATTTCAGAGAATATACATGGAAGAACTATGCATGCACCCAAACAGGGCGAAAAGTGATCGCTATCAAGGATATTATAACAGATCAGAGTGATCAGCTAGACTATCCTGACAGAGTCATACAAATTGCTTTGGGGTTCAACCACCTCGTTATAGCAACGGTGAAGCAGTGTTTCATACATAAGTTAAGCTCCTGGAATACGCCTGTTACGTTTGATTTGAAAGAAGGAACTATCAGCATGATTTTGCTGTCTGAAAGGTACTAGACATTCAAACGTGTTCAGAAAATCGGATTGCTGCAACATGAAACATCAATTTTGCACTTTTTATACCATTTCAGATGTCTTTGCATCGTTGAACGAGCTGGCTTATCAGTGTACAGTTATATGGGAAGACTACTAGCCAGTCCTAAGTGGGGAGCACGTCCTGAAACTTTAGGACGAGCCGCTTTGTCCCTTGGACCTGACACTTTGGCTGCCATTGACCAAGTCGATAGAAAGCGTACGCTATTTTATTTCTAGAGCAAAATTGCTTGTTCTGTTTAATTGAGTTCATTCAAATGTTGTAACACTATGCTCCTATGTTGTCCAGTTATTACGTTATGCGTTAAATGTAACAGAGTTGTTGAAGGTCAAAAACGTTCAAACAGAGTAATAACTACTTGTTGATACTTTCAGTGATCCACGTGTTCGATCTTCCCACTGGATTAGTCGTTCGCAGCTCTACCGACAACACAGTCACAAAGCTGTTGCACAAAATGACAGTTTCCAGCATTGCTCTGAGCCAAACGGGGCCAATCAGCGAGAGGCAGTTAGCGTTGCTGGATTACAACAGGGATTTGTATGCGGTTACTGTGAAGGATAGCAAGCCGAAATTTGTTAAGTTGGGTGAGAAAATTCCGTTAGTTGTCATGGAATAAATTTACAAGGAGCATTTCCATATATTTATTTGTTTTGTAGGCTCCCAGGTGCTAAGCGTCGCATGGAGCGCCGAGACAGAATTATTAGTGGGCATTCGAGCAAACTCCGCCGTGGCGTGGTGCTGCCCTCGAGCGGCCACGCAGCCGGATTGGCAGGCTCTCACCACAGTCAGCAAGGAGATCAAGTAGGAAGACTCGATTCTCGTACTGTTCGCTGCGGTCCCCGCCCGGCCTGGTCCTGCCCGGCGGATCAGGGCTTCGCTCACGGCAAGGCCTTGCCCGCAGCGAGCTGGGCCGCAACCCGTCCGTGCGCGGCGTGGAGGGCGGCGTGGTGCGCGTGCGCCGCGGCAACGGCTCGCTGCTGCACGTGGCGCTGGCCGACTTCCCGGAGAAGCTGCTCGAGCATGTGGCCGCCAACCTGTGGCCGGCGGCGCTGCAGGTCAGTGGTGGCGATCTGGACGGGCTCGACCCGCACCGGCGCGAGTACGAGATGCGTAGATGCTTCAGAAATACATGCCGAAGAGTCAGTCGCTTACGGGATGTGCAATACCTTTGACTAATAAGCTAAACCGTGAGCTCGTCTTACTTGGTACTTGGTGCAACGGGCTGGTATCCGCAACTCGACGACAAAGTGCCTATTTTGCGTGTGGTGGGTGCAGGGTCCTACTCGTGCCACCCAAGCTCCTCCAGGAATCTCAGCAGCCTCCTTGGTTTGCTGAAGACTTCGAGGAGCGACCTTGGCACTCCAAGGTATTTTGCCCTGTAGTTGGCCACGCCAACGTGAGCTCGCCTTAAAAAGTTTAGTTTCTTGCGCAGCTATGCCGAACCGTAGAAGACGAAACCCTGTGGGCGTGCCTCGCGGTGCTGGCGTGGCACCATCGCCAACTGGCCGTCGCCGAAGAGGCCTTCGCGCTCATACATCAATACCACCAAGTGTCGTACATACAATATTTGAGGGTAAGCACTGTCTTACCGATAGCATGTATATTTGGGAAAGACAGATAACTATTCCAGGTCCAGGTAAGCTAGTACCTGGAGTTATGTTATCCTGGCTTTCATAGTACAGAAATTGCAAAACTGGGATACAAATTTTTAATAAATTATTTTTTTATGTTTCCTTATCACACTGAATCTCATTAACGTAGCTCCGTTGTTAGTACCTAAAGCTCTATTGAACTGTAGTAGATTTAATTAGAGTTAATTAACTGACGTTTAGTGATTTGTTACTTTTTCGATGATTTATAAACAGTGCTATTTTAAAGTATCAACTTCACCGATTCATTTCGTAGGTCATGAGAGTAAATTATCTTATTAATAATGTATAGGTGCAGTCAAGAGCGCATCAAGCTTGACACTTTGTAGTTTGGACCATTCTTATCATAAGCGGTATAGAGTTGGATTTAAGTCTTATTATTATTAGTATTAGACCATGTGCTAATTTACTAAATTTAAAAATAAATTATAGAAGTTGATAAAAAATTTAGAAAAATATCTTTAGATTAATGTAAATGAAATATTGTTTAGCAAATTAGGTAGGTAATGGTATAAAAATCTTTAACGTTTCTTTTTTAGTGATTCTATTCCGGTGACTTATTATAAACTGAACTAAATACACATCACTATATAATACTCACGGCAACATTATTTTTCAAAGTGACATTAGTAACTGTCTTTTTATCTAAAACTAAAACTAAAAATTCGACTATAAAAATCACTCAATCTTACTCACAAATATCGTGTAATAAGCTCACAGAAAAAAAAAGCAATAGTTTAATTATTTTATTATTTTTTTCTTTTTCAGAATGCGATACCAGAAAGATTGACCAACGGCAGTACTTGAGCTAGCTAGACAAAAATTACTCATTGCTATTTTTACTGGACTATGGCGAAAAAGAAAGAAGGATTGCATATGCATATATGTATATATATTCCGTAAATATGTATAAGAGATATCAAAAACCTTTAAACTGATATCGAAAGTATGTTAACTAACGAGTAAAACGACATCAATAACTTTTAAAAATAAAACTACAAATATGTAAAATTTGTAATGTTAAACGCTCCCATAGATTTAATATTACATGCGTATCATGATATTCAATCATTACATAATTAGGTCTTAGTCTCGTGCTGGTCCTCGACTTTAAGAGCCCTCATTATGCATAACATACCATCGTATGACTTAGGATACATTCATTGTTTTTACCGTAATTACATGTCATGATCCCTCAATGATTTTCAAGTAGATACACATGTTGATTATCCTGCCAACTAAAATTAATACGTTCAATTAAAATTTCCATTCGATTACTATTGAAGATCGTAATAAATTGAACTGGCTGCAAAAGCGTTTTAAAGTTCATTCGAATATTTTTACATATTTTTTTTTAATATTATAGGTATATAATTTTTTTTTTCCATCCTCAAGGTTAGAAACGTACTCGTGATTGTGAAAAAATGGCATATTCTATTAAGGAGACCTTCGACTTTATGTTGCCCTATTTCGCTTTATCTACAAAAATATCTTTAACTCATACTAGACACTGCCTCTTGTTATTTATCTGGATAAAAGCTATGCCTATAAGCATCAATTTACATATTTTGCGTATGGATCTCCTCTAAGAAAAGACTTTTAGGCCATATATATTTTTAATCAATTACATTTTAGATGCACTGCATTGTTAATGTCTAGAGACTCGAAAGTCATATTTCAATTATTTAATGTGGTTATAAATGTCACGGCTGTTACAAAAAAATGTAAATAAAAATAAAACTTAAACGCGAAACCTACTATGACTACTATGACTAACAAGCATAAACTTTAATTTTTTGACATCTAAGTTCTAAAGTTTAAATGACGATGAATTGGAATAAGCCGTTACATCTTATGTCTTAGATAACAACTATAACGATAATTCATTAAAGATGTTGTGCTACTCTTTGTTTTATTATTTACTTAAACATTGATAAATTCTTCTCACAGGTTCGTTTTTATATAACACTCAGAGCATCTGTTGTTGTTGCTACATTTATTATTTTATCATTACATTGAACAGTACTACTTACGTACAAACAAATATTAATTGATAGCTCATCAGTAGATAATATTCGTATCGATTTATCCCCGCATCTGCAACTCTCGCTGTCAACAGAGCAACTTCGTAGTCGTCGGAGCAACTCTATTTTCATTCAGTCAGTTGTTGTGTCAGTGGCGGAGGTGGTGGATGTGTGTTCCGTGAACGTACATTATTTTCGTTACAAAAACATGGAAGCACAATTATTTTTTTAAGCAAAGTGCCAATACAATCACTTAAACTTTACTCAATGATTAAATACGAGCAATATTCAAGTAAATTATTGTTAAACTATCCGAGTTTTCAGTGTGATAGCTCGCGTCCTAAAAAGTTGTGATTTGCGAAAGAAAGTTTCTAACTTTTATACGTTTTGAGATTTTAAATGGCCAAAGATGCGTGTCAGGGATACGAATTGTGTGTTGTTGATGTGCGTTTTGTTCGTTTGCGGGCACGTTAATGATGTTGAGGAATCGGGACATTCGTTGGAGTTAACCCAGTCCTTGAACTTGGGCCGGCAGGAATTGATTCAACAGGCGTGTGCACATTTCCCGCCGAGCTATTCCCTGGAGGACCTGCAGCCTACCGAGTTGGAGCACATTCTTGTGGACGATGAGCACAAACTTTTATATTGTTACGTGCCAAAGGTGAGACTGCCAAGGCCAACCAGTTTCTCGGTTTAGGTTAGCAAGTTCATTTTGCGTCAATATGTATGATTTAGATGAACGCCTTATGATATTTCCCAAGTAAATCTCTTGGTACGGTGATTAGTTTATTATAATAGGTCAATTTATCAGGTTGGGAAAACCATATTTATGATAATACTAATGATGTTTGTAAACAACAAAATTGTGTAAATATTTAGTTAGTGTAATGTGGATTTATTTTAGTAGTACATTATGCTGTTTTTCAACAATAGTGACTTAAATCTAAATATGTAGTCCTAAGACCCAATATAATATTATATTGCTTTGGGCGTTTACGTGATTCGTAAGAATAAGGGCGCGTTCAAATCAGCCGCTGTCAGCCGCGTTGCAACAGCTTATATATATTTTCTAGAATAGACACCCCTATTCTAGAAAGCCAGCGAAATGTTCTACACAATACTCTAAAATATTGTACTTTTTATTTTTTTATCACTTTAGGAACTTTTTAATTCCAAATAAAAAAAATACCGATCTCTAGGTGGCCTGTACTAATTGGAAGAGAATACTCACGATCCTGAGTGGCAGATGGAAGAATAACACTGATGTCCTATCCGTCCCCGCCAACGAAGTCCACGAGCGTGGACTGTTCCGAAGTTTAGACTCCGTGAACAAGACAGAGAGAGACTTCATGCTGGACACTTATCACAAAATGATTATAGTCAGAAATCCGTTTGAAAGACTGTTGTCAGCTTATAGAAATAAATTGGAGGGCGAAAGTCAGAGTGCCAAGTATTTTCAAGTAAGTTTAATCCTTCAGTTAGTTTTTAGTTGTCTGTTAAATTTTACAACCACATAGGTACTTATAAGCGCTCTGTTGATGTATTTAAACCAGGTACTTTCGTATGCCTGAAAAAAAAGTCGTTACCAGTAAAAAAGTTGAATAATTGCTAAGATAATTGCTCAAATAATTGTTAATCTCCTGCATAACACATAAATGGTACATTTATTTGCATTTGTTCGTCCAAATTGTGGCCTTGTGATTGATTGGTTAATTGACCAACAATTCGTTCTCGTTGGGGACTGTTGACTTTTCGATCTTTTTATTGACCAACTTATGTAAGCGCATTGGCACTATAATGCCATAAAAACCTCACACACTCGCCGATACCTATTCCATCTCGCCAAGATCTCCACACAGCGCGCTGAGCTATTATTGTTACAAAAAAGTCTTCTGCAATACGCACACAGATTTGTGTATTCAAAAATCATTATGTGTATCTCAACAAAAAGGTTGAACGGTCTAGAAATCATAATGAGACTTTTTACGTAGATGAGGCAAACTTGGTACAGACGTAGGGTCGGCGCGGCGCCCTCACTTAGGTATCCACTATTTGTACTAAGTGCTTTATAATTATATATTATAATTACAATATTTTGTACAGCACTTAGTATACCTAAGGGAGGGCACCGACTGTACAAATAATCTGTTTGTATTGTCAGCTAAAGTGCTTTGAGTCACGGGAATGTGTTATTTTCCTCAACTGATCTAAACTATTAATTGTTTACAATTGCGAGATTGAAATCTATAACATAATAATTTATTATCTCAACATTACAGTACAGAAGTTATATTAAGTAAAGAGTGATAGTCCACCAGTCCTCTCCGATTAGTTTAAACCATGACAAATCAACTCGTACGATCGTTATTATAAATAAACCTTGCACGCACGGTAGACCGTGTTATTTTAAATGAACACAGCCTATGGTGTCACAGTCGAATATATAGAAGCACAGCTGTGTGTAAAGGACACACGTAACAACCTTCCAACTAATTCTTCCGAATAGCGACTACAAGAGCGAATAAATGGAGGAACACACCGTTCAGTTAACATGGGTGAATTGTGTTCTAACTACAAAAAAGATAAGAATTTCAGGTCGATTAACGACGTGTCTCTTGACCAATATGGCCTGTTTTCTCGCAGCATCATAATATCCCGTTGCAAAAAGTACAAGACAATCTTTGCTGTCAAAGTTTAAAATAAAAAACAAAGCTAAAGCAAGTACGGTGATATAAAACGAAGATTATACCTAAAGGAAGAGGAGTATACAAAAGAAAGAGGAGGCTCCCAAATTTAATTGGAATGCTGAATTTCTCGCACGGGAACTAATTCAACTTATTACCAAACCAAAATGCTATTTGCAAGCCCTACATCGCGCTGTCTAAAATACATCCCAAATATATCTCTGAAAAATGGGAGCTTGTGGATCATAATCAATACTACACTTCAAAATGACAGCTATTTAATGCGCTAGCGGGTTCCAAACACGTTCCAACGCATTATTACGTATTTTTCATGAAATAAAACATCGCTAAGCTTAAGCGAAAAATGATCTTACGTCCAAACTGTAGTCAACGCTCTCAACAAGCGGTGTCAAGAAGTCAATAACCAGAAATATCAGTCTTTATTTTACTTCAATTTCATTTATACATCTTATAACAACAGAAAGTGCAGCATCTGAAAGGTAAACTTATAGGAGAAGCTGAACATCATAAACAACATCTGATATAAACGTTACCATGATATTGCGACCTCCAGTACACTCCTTTATGAACTGCGTGTTAAATCTAGCTATAATTGCACACCTCGATGCATAAGATAAATGAAAAGTATGATATCATCATTTAATATTTAAGTGGAATTTCCAACACTGGCCTAAATACCACCACGTGGAAACCGATTATAATACATTAGATGTCACAAAAACCACATAAAAGAACGTAACGTGGTTACAAAACACGAGTTTTAAAATTTTTGTAAAGCATATTTATGACGTACGAGATTATGAAAATACCTTAAGAGGTGATAACATACAGTGAATAAACGAAGTTGTACATAATGTCTATCGACACTTCTATACATCGCCACGTCTGCAGAAAATGTCGATCAGTATTTTATCATACTGTGTATAGTTGGTGCCCGTGCAAAGGAAAGTACTTTTGATGCAATATTCGAAGTTCATTGACACGACCTCAGCATATGGACATAAAGTTGTTGCGACACAAAAAAAATGTACAAAGACCGTTTATTCAATGAAAAGAGAAATGCCAGTCAACAAAGACCAGCAAACAATGTTTTAGAAACATCATACACAACTGAACGAACTTTTCTAAGAAAATAGATCGCAATCATGCACACAGATCATAGTTTTCCAATCTTTCTTAGCAGCATCCTACATCAAATCACATACACAGACGAGATTGATGTATTTTTTTATTTTTATATTAATCAACCTTTACCCAGCAGAGGGACATAATTAAAATTAAAATTATTATATAATTAAAATTAAAAAAAAAATTAATCAACACCAGTCCAGCTTGTAAATTAAAACTGTAGATTTTTAAAACTACGAACTGTGAGCGTAATCACCGGAAATGCTTTACAGACAATAACTTATAAAAATAGCTGCAGTGTTGAGTAATTGCAAAGAGCGCCTGCACTTAGCTTGCAAACCACTTCGATTGCAATTATAATTATTTACAATTAACTGCCTCTCTGGCCGAACGGCTACCATGATGGACTGCCACGCAGAGATCCCGGGTTCGATTCCCGGGCCGGGAGAAATATTTGTATGGCCTACTAAAAACTAACTATTTACCTGACGCAACTTTTGAAAAGTTTAACTAGTCTCATTTGAATAACATAAAGTTTGCAGATATGTATTTTAATTCTCGCATTACTCAGTGTCATCTATTATTTTGAACTGACTTCAAAAAAAGGAGGTTCTCAATTAGGCTGTATGTTTTTTTTGTAAAGAGGGTATGTCAGTAGAGGTCCATTTAAATTTGAAGATAATATTCCACCTTTAAGGGTGGCAAACTTGGGGATGAGTGACTTTTGAGGTCGGTTATTTTAGTACTTTGTACTGAGATCATTAACTTTAATGGTGGAAGGAAGAAATCACCATAGATTTAGTGATAGTGACGGCCTCTGCGGTCGAGTGGCTTGCACACCGGTTTTCACGGCCATCTCTGAGGTCCCAGGTTCGATCCCCGGTCGGATCAGTGTAGAAAATTAACTTTTCTATATTATCTCGGGTCTGGGTGTTTGTACTACCGTCGTTGTTTTCAAATTCCATAACACAAGTGCCTTAGCTACTTATTTTGGGATCAGAGCAACGTATGTGATGTTGTCTAATATATATATATAATATACTAAAGTATATGCCAACTAAAGCTATGGTCTGCACTTAAACCAGTGTAGATGTATAAAAAATACACCGGGACAATCAACAAACGTCGATTAAATACCATTTTGCACCGATTCAAGAAAAACTGGGTCGTTTAAAGTCCATAACAGCGACTTTACTAGTTCGATACGCAAATTTAATTATGGTTATTAATTCATCTAACCAAGTGCGAAATCACAAGCGAAACCTGACGCATAAAGTTGAAATTGTCGCCTTTTATTGTATTTATTTATTTAATCAGGCCACGTGACCCGTATAACATACACCTTAAGGATTAACATCCATACAATATAATAAACACTTTTTTATATTAAAAGTGCACCGTTTTATCGCAAATCACATTAATTTCAAATATTTTCAAATAAATTTCAATATAATCCATCTGAATTCATAATTCTGACAATTTCGGTGACCGAAAAGGTTTGCATTGTGTACGGCGAGGTCTCGGATCTAATTCCCGGTGGGACGAATTTGAAAATTAACTTTTCTATATTGGTTCTGGTCTAAGCGTTCTGGACACTTGCCCCGAAGTGAATTCCTTTGTTCTGGTACTCACAGTACAGAAAATTCCAAAGTTTGAGACCAGGCAATCGCTGCGGTTGTCTGGCACGTTATTAAAATTATTAATACTTATTATGCTGGGTACTTATGATGACATTTTGTGGTTGCACCCCTTTTGTAAATCCTAAGGTTGCCTGGAAGTAATTGCTACATAGCAACAAAACAAATACAAAACTTGCAGTTGTGTGTTTTAACTGTAATTTTGTGTAGGTACTATAAAAAATATTTCATTCATTCATTCATTATATTTTTAATTTCGTAAAATTCTGTTTAAAACCTAAATTATTGTTTCCATTAAATTAAAAGGAAAGTTTTTATCTTCATATATCTCAAAACTGGAATCTTCGACTGCGTGTTTCATTTGGGATTGCCTCATTTAAACTTTACAGTGATTCATTCTCTGGTTTTGTGCTCATCAACTTTACAATCGACTTTACCTCGTGCGGCTGCTTCTTATTATTAGCGTATCGGTGCTAATTTTATTATAGGAATATATTAACTTTGAGTTGTATGTTGGCCTTGCGCTGTGTGGGGCAGTGCCTATTGAAAATTTCCCTGTAAGGGGCGCACGAGCAAGTGCTGCATTGACCGTGACCGTAGTCACGTTGGTTATACTGTTGTCCCTGAACTTCTATTTACACATCTTGTCTCTGCAGCGTGCGAAGTCGATTCAGCGACTTCCACAGCAGATCGCAAGTGCATTTTATGTATTACATTAAGAGCCCTTTTTGTTAATATCAACGGGACGATCAAGTTGTGCGCCTGATGTTAATCTACACGCCTGTCCATAACAGTTGCAGTGCCACTCAGAGCTTTAAATCGCAAAGATTTCAGGACATAAGTTGACAAGTTTGATAAACCTACTCAGGTTTTTGTTGTACCGCTTTGTTTTTATTTATAAGATTTATTTTTGTAAAAATTTTAATAATAATAATAAAAGTCCAATGTGCCTGTAATTTCACCAGCACCCTTACTCTTCAAAACCGGGACACAGTAATGCTGACATTACTGCTTGGCGCCGCAAATATGTAAGGTGGTACTACTCTGGACGAACTCATTCACAAGAACATTGTATTAAAGAAAAAATATATTTGTCTCAAATCTAAAACCACCTTTCACTCGCTCGGGGTATTTCAAAAACTTTTTTACGATTAAAGCGCACAACTATGGAATGAACTCCCGTCTGAAATCCGACGTTCAAAGTCGCTTTCTATTTTAAAAACTGGATTGAGTAAATATCTTCTGACACTGTCCTAGAGTCGTATTCTAGAACTCTACTCAATGCTCAAGTTAGGATTTGAGTATGGTTTAAAGCACTTGATATCATACTGAAGTCACTGCCATTAGGGTCGTATTTCCAGTGCTTGTGTTGCCAGTGCAATCCTGACTTGAGCATTGAATAGAGTTCTAGAATACGACCCCTAGTCTGTATCGTGTATATATTTATTAATAAGTGTATGTTTATTTAGATATATTTATATATACTAATACACGTGTAGGTACCTATACTGTATCGTTACTTATTATTTGATAAAATATAATGTTAGTTATTGTTTGTCTATACAATTCAAATTTTCCTATATCTCAAAGGTTGTCTGGAAGAGATCGCTCTTAGCGGTAAGGCCGCCTTTGCCCACATTAGTTTTAAGCTCTCTATGTACTGTTTTTGTTCATGTGTGTGAGTATATCTATCTGTCTAAACAAAATTACAGTCAAGTTTAAACCTCTTTTAGGTACGAAAGTTCTTGTATCAGGTCTCGCTCCTGTATAACTATTTTTTACCAATCAATTCATTACATTACACACAATTATTATAACATTTCGAAACCACTAAGGTTTGAATCAACGCTGTATGTCGGAACCATCGACAATACATAAATCGTACCATAGTGAAATAACTTGGGCACTACACTATAATAACGTTATCTTCAGCAAAAAGGCAACAAATAAAAAGCAACTAACGAGCGGTGGCAATTACAATTCTAAGCTTCTAACTTCTAACTAATACGTAATAGCTAAATACATCGAATCAAATTAAAATTCAAAAAATCCCGACACAAAATTGTGTCATTGAGGCCAATCCAACGAGCCTAAATATGATAGTTCTGCTGTAGTTGTAGAGGAGACGAGTAGTCTGCAGACAATGTTACAATAATTTTGTAATGTGGTCGACTTACCATAGTATACGAAGTATCAAGTCTATGTAAGAAGTGGAAACAAAATTCAATTACATTCATTTTGTCACCGAGATCCCTACTCTAACCGGGAAGAGAGCTGATGATCATTGAACAGCTGAACAGATGTTCAAACATAGCTGAGAACCTTCTCGATGAAATTTGCTTTCAAATAATAAACCGCATGAAAAATCTGTCTTACCGTTTGGGAACAACGCCACAAACCGACAGACACACTGGTACACAAACATAGGCTTCAAAGTTATGATTACCCCCGTTTTGTGTCGGGGTTTAAATACATCGTAAAATAAAAATAAAATTTCAGAAGTAATTAAGTATAGTACCTACAAAGCATTATAAATAAAGCTATATTTATTGGAAAGAGAAATGGGTACACTTATAAATTTCATAATTGTATATTCTGATATGTTAGTATGTATTAACTATAAGATACTGCGAATAGAGTATATATAACGTTCCCAACTAATTCCAGGACCGCGTAGGCCGTCGCATCGTGAAGGCGTTTCGTGAGAACCCGACGAACGAGTCTCTCGCGCTGGGCCATGACGTCTCCTTCAAAGAGTTTGCGCTCTTCCTCACAAACCAGTCCAAAGAGCTGGCCGACGTGGTCAGCAACGAGCATTGGCGCCCTATTACCAGCTTGTGCCACCCTTGTCACATCAAGTACACTTTAGTTGGTAAGTCCGTCTTAAGAAAAAACATCGTGAAGTTCAGTTCATCTGCTTGTATCAGTGAAATAAACCCAATTATGTATATGAACCCCAAGCCTAGCGTGGCCAGGGGGACTACAGCCCGTTCCTCTCATCCATGAATGATGTGATGGGATGGTCACGCTTTTTCTTATTGTTATTATCCATTATTACTCGTCACTTTAGAGCTCAGAAGTCATATAAACGCAAATTCAAGGAATTCAACGTGCAGCAACTAGACGTTCAGGAAATGAATATACGAGACTTGACATTTGGGAGGTTACTGTTCCCTCCCTGTCTATATTCACATCTTTAATTAGAGATGACTATAACTGACTGACGTACGTTCAGTGGTAGTTTTTGAGGTAATAGAAATAGTAATAATGTCATCTTAAACGATTGATTTCCCTGACTCACTCAGATGGTACATTATACATTATATGTAGAGTATGACCGTGGGAAGTACTTATCACTGATTTAGTCAGTAATTATTTTGTAACTGGCTATTCACTCTTCATTATCATTTCGTTAAGCTGGAGGATAAAATAACAACGTTGATTGCAATTAATTTGTTTATTCACTTTTCACAGTTTAGTCCGAAAGTACAAAAGGCGAGTCAGGTTAAAACGGATTTTAAATGTAAAATTCAAATTTAAATGTAAGATCACAATGGCAAATTCACAAAGACCGGCCGCGCTTGTTCCCTTTCCAAGTAACTCACACCAAAAAGCTCCTCTTGTCAATGCTCGCTTATTTATTAAACATTGACCATCCACGTCACTCCTTGTTTGGGAAACTTTGCCAATGACCATCATGTCTAGTACCACGTCAGATGACTGGTCAGACTAAACAAATTCAAATGACCCCTGCGCCTCCCCCTCTGCGACCTCACCCAATTTGAACTGCCATACTCACGTGACATTTATAAGCAAAATTCCACGATCGAAACTGGTTAGTTTGTTTCGTAGACAACTTAGCTTTTCTAAACATTAGAAAACAATATGTAATAGTATTAGCTAAGATTTATCCTTTCCTAAGGCACAACACGTAAACAATAAACCGCATTCTGTTACATCGCGTTTGAAGGAATAACTTGGCTCCGACGTATATATTTTAATATAAATTGTAGTATTAATTTATAATTAAAAAATTTGATAATAGAAACTATTTTAGATTTATAGTCAAACACCTTTGACTTTTTAACCGATTCTGCGCATCAGTGAGTAATTGAAAATTGAATCAAACACGTTTTCATACAATAAACATGGCAACATTATTTTTCAAAGTGACATTAGAAGCTGACAGTTTGTTAACTCTAATTAAAAATTCGATTATAAACATTGACTTACAATTATATGGACATCGGGTTCGCGCTAAAAAGTGTCCGAACTTATAGGGCGTTAAAATCGTATACAGAGCGTCATTCACGCTTTAGTCTTCGTTTGTTCGACTGATAGCGAAGCAAACAAAATTAGACAGTACTGCGATGATATTACAATTTAAATTCAACGTTTTAGCTTCTTCATATTCCTTTACATGTCACTACGTTTAAATAGGTTGACTTGGGACATTTTTTTCGTGGTTTTTGTATTAGACCCGTAGTCCATTTATTTGTAAGTTCAATGATTATAAAGTTCAAAGTGGAATATTTTGAATTGGAATTAATTTTAAGTAACACGGGTACCATTATGCGTTGTGACAATGTTGTTATCGCTTTCAATTATATTTACTGTTCTTGGATAGTTTTATCGGAGCTAGTCAAAACACATGCATGTAGCTCCTGCCATAAAGTGTACATAATTTAATTGAAAGGGTAGATCTTAAAACAGCTTAAGGCACAACTTTTCATAACGATATGTAGATAAATAAAGTCCTTTTTATTATATTTTATATATTATAATAACGCTAAAGTAAACTTTACGTTCTCGATATGTAACATTGATTTATTTTATTGACTGCACGAATATTGATAATAAAAATCTATCTAAGTTGCGCAAATGCCATTTTATGGTGTGACAAGCTTTCTCTGATCTGATCTGACTTTTTTATTACACATCTGATCACGTCGTTCACAAGTGACAAATAGCTAATCGAAAGAACACCAAGAACCCACTCTCACCACCATTTTTAGCAGCAGTAGAGCTCCTTGTGATAGAGTTCGTCCACCGTATTACCTGTTTCTGCCATCAAGCAGTAATGTAAACAATACTACGTTCTGGTTTTGAAGAGTGAGGGTGCTGGTGAAATTGCAAGCACATGGAACTTGTCGACTTAAGTCTCAGAGTGCCCCTCCAGTCTTTGCGATTTAAAGTTCTGAGTGGCACTAGAACTGCTATGAAGAGGCGTGTCACTACCACCACCACCACCACCAGGCGCACGACTTGTTCACCCCGTCACCTGGTACTATAAAAAAAATCTGTGCCGTTTAGTCAAAGCGGTAAGAAAGTTCACACCGTGGTCGAAAAGTAAATTATCCGTTTTTTGCAACGTCTGTGTACACGATCGAGAGCACGTTAATCTTGACATTAAGACTTAAAATCAACTCTATGCCGCTTGCGATGAGAACGTTCCAAAGTCGTTAGAAAATGTTAAGCTTGACGACGTGTTGACTGTACATATAAGATCACTAGCACGTCACTAGTTGTGCAGCAATGTAGTGTAACATTTTATTATGGACACCTCGTTTCTGCGGCTCTCTAGATCCGCCTCATATCCGGTATTCAAACGTCATCGCCCTATATTCGCTCTCGCTTTACCTGTACGAATGACAGTAGAGCATAAGTTGATGTACAGGCACTCTAAAAATCGTCTTTACTGTTAGAAAGTTTCTCGTTATAATCTGGCTAAAACCGTAATGTAAAGATCGCAGATTTACTAACTTTCCCATGGTGAGTTCGTGTAATAACCGTGCCATAGTTTATTTCTTTACATATCTTGTTTGTAAAACCACTACACGCAAGTACAAAGATTTTTATAAGGCTCCATTTACATGTAAGCATAGTATAATGTGAAAACGTTATGTCAGTTTTGTAATCACCACGGAAAAAAGGCATATTCTGTGTGTGGAACGTACAAATTGGATACGAGTCAAAGAACAGTTTACGCATCTTCCGGCGAATTCGCGCGCAGAGTAGAGAATTCCCGCAGCTACCCTGTCTTATCTAGCTTATACTTTGTTCAATAAACATACCTAAAGTTCATTGTGTTATGTTCAATTTTGTCACAAAAGTACGCTACCATTTCGTCCCGTAGCAATGTGAATTAAGCCTAATCAAATGTGGCCAAAGGTTTTTTAATTTTTGTATTATATTTTATTTATACGGACTTCAGTTTATACGGTCTGGGAAAAGCGAGTTTTAATTGGCTACGTGTATAATGTTGTATAATTATAATGCACGTGATTGTATCTTCGTAATCTGTTTGCTTTTCTACTTATAAAACTAATTGTCGTTTTGTCGTATCAAGTACACACTTAGGTATCATGTAATGCGTCAATACATGAAACATATGAATAATCTCAGTACAGAGCACCTATTAAAAGACCGACCTCAAAAGTTCGTAGAATAATATGAGTATTTGCTAAGTTTAATCGAAATCGGTTACCGGAAAATGCGCGAAACCGGATTCATCCCCTAGTTTGCCATCTTTAGAGATGGAATTTTTTTTTAAATTTAAATGGGACCAATACTGAGAAACTCTCTTTTCAACAAACAAATAATCATTAAAATTGATTCACAAACGCCGAAATTATCGCTTAAACATACCTACATAAAAATACAGTGGAATTGAGATCCTCCTTCTTTTTTTGAAGTCGGTTAAAAACTTATTTAAAGGAGTAGTAGTTCGCCTAGCACTTACACAGGTTCACATTTACACAAACCCATGTCGCTTTTGTATTTAGTAAATAAGTACATTAAGTAAATTATTACCAAATTATGAACAGTAAGATCTTTCTTGTTACTTTTTAATGACGTGTCAACATAAGTTAGCTTACAATGTGATACAGAACTAATATCATATTTAACTTATCAATGTAATTTGATTGTTATGTGTTTGTGTCCATATAATAAATACGTAATGAAATCTATCATAACTAACATAATCGACATATTTAGCGAAATGGCGTTATTAACGTAAATCTGGAATCAACGAAACGATTTCTACAAAGTTACCAAAATGCAAATCCGTTGTTTACGACAAGGACGGCAGAAATATTGACAATTATCTCATTGATTTTCCGTGCAAATGTAGTTTACTAGGTGTTCATAATTCTGAGGAGTACTTTACTATGAATTGCTTTAAATAATCCAATGGCATATCGCGGTCAAGGCACTTGATCACGGTCCTAAATCATTCCAGTATTTAATTGGCTCGACGCAAACAGACGAACAATACAAAAATATGTTCTAATTTAGACGTTGCCCCGAAAACTGAACGTAATTAAAGAGATACGGCTGACAGCTTACGGTACAAATAAGTGAAATGGCGTTAGTTGGAATAAGTTGAATCAAAATTTCTAGAAATCGAGTTAAAAATTAATCTAAATTGTGTGGTGGTTAAAGTTTGACATTATCATAACTTACATTTAAACAAACTTGAATCAGCTTTGTTGATAAAACCATTTCAGTTATAAAATAATACGAGAAATAGCTAATAATCAAATGTTTTTTGGGATTGGTCATATCGAGAAAATGTTATCAAATCGTGTTCACCAAAAGTTACAGGTCAAACGGTCAAGCGCATACGATAAATTTTAATACTCTTGTTTGATGAAATAAATTACATAGAAGAGTAGTATATTTTGAACATCCTCTGAGGCCGCAGCGAGTGAAGTGAGGAAGTCTAAGGCCATGCTATTTGGTAAGTAAATAACCGTAATAATAACAACAGAAAACTTGCGAAATCACAGTCAAAAACTGATAACTTATCGAAAGACATAATATTTAATTGGTTATCGATGGCTAGGAACGTTTTATCATATGGGTCAA